ATTTTTGAAGATTTTGCTTCCAATTTTTTAGAGGCTTTCACTCGCAGCCAGATATTAATTATCTACAAATCTGAAGAGAAAGTATTCTTAACTCTCCTCGAAAATGAACATTTATCGGAGGAAATTTGGCAACTCTCGAATGTTCATACGGCGTTCTTCCTAAGCACGGCAGCATCGAGAACGTCACTGAGAGGCTCCTTTGCAAACTAGATATATTCTTGTCAATTCTATAGTCGATGCTTTGTAGATGATGGGTAGGGGTTGCTTACCCAAGGAGAAAACGGGGGCAGTACCCCACGTATTGTCGCAAAAATTCAGCGAATAACATAACCTGATTTTTGTTTTTTGTTTTACCAATTAATGCTGGTTTGAAAATGATAAACCTATGCACTTAGAAAAGCCCTACTGGCCAAAAAAACTCCGAGCATCAATATTTAAACTCGTAACAAGATTTTTCGGTTTTTTGCTAGTCATAATGCGAAAACAAAAATTGAGGTATTAACCGACTTTACAAATATATGCAATGATTGCGATTTAGGTCATGCTTTAATAAAAAAACAATATGCAAGACACAACGTTGGTTGAAACGTTACGTATTTTTAACGTAACGTATATTAAACGGACCGTTCGGACCGTATAATTATTATCAAATCCTCTCAAACTCGATGAAAGTTCTATGTGCGAGTCCCCGCCAAACTCGTCAAATTCGATCGAAATCAATCAAAACAGGTCAAAATTCCTTTACAACTCCGTCGAACTCAATCTGTGATCTTCATCTAAAATCCTTTCGTACGTGCGACCATAGCCACTTCGCCTACCCGCCCAAATCGTCGCTTTTTTGACATAAGGCTCCATATAACTCTATGCTTCCCACGGCTTACCTGGGAATGAAGATTGACGCTATTAGCCCCACGTCTCACAACAAAGCGATATATGTCGATTTATTCTCATTGTCAGCATTGGAAGAGGCTATGTCGTTATTGTTTGGATCCAATTCGAATTTCGGAATCCCTATGGTGACCTCACCTCTAATAGCGTCTTCACTGCAGTGCTGGGGAAAAACGTCGTGTGAACCTCCGTCAGTTGCCAGATTTCCTTCGATTAAATACAAATCTCCACACGGAGAAAAAAACCTCGTGCGTGGGACTCGAAGTTTAGGTCATATGGATCTCTGAAGTTTTCGGATTGAGCATCAGAACACTTTAGGTCTAGCTGTCGAGGTTCGGATCACACATCTGAAACTCCAGTTCTTACATCTGAAGTACTTCAGATGTAAGCACTGAAGTTTCAAATGTGTGATCCAAACTTCAGCAGATGGACCTAAAGTGTTCAGATGCTCAATCCGAAAACCTCAGAGATCCATATGACCTAAACTTCGGGTTCCACGTACGAAGTTTTTTTCAACGTGCAGGAGGACTCGTGAATATTTGCCGGTATATTTTTCGGAACATTTTTTTCGTAATCAGATCTAAATTATCCGATAATTTCGATAGGAAACACTCTCAACTCTCCTAAAAAATAAATATTCCATCAGAGGAAATTTGGCAACTCTCGAATACTCATACGGCGGTTTTCCTTAGCATGGCAGTAAACGCCCTTACGGCAGAAGAACGACGAAATGAAGGCGAATCAAGTTACATGACACCGACCTATCGTCGTGACATCCCAGTTCTGAGGGGGGGGCTGGGACCCCTGTCGGCGCTGGGCACTGTCCAGCTCAACGTCGGATCGGATTGGATATTTGGGAGGTCGGTGGCGGCGGCGGGCCGAGACATAACCATTAGTGGCCCGATTTGGCGTTACATTATCGCTGACTCCGCGGACACGGGTTTATGTAAACGACGAATTAATGTTTGAGCGCTAATATGCAAATGATGGGCTCACGAGCACTCCGTCCGGCGCTACTCGATTCCCGCCAGTTTTCCACCCGAAAAAAATCCGATTTCGCGAGGCTCTCATCCGCGATCGGACAAGTGCGGCCGAGATGCGGAGTCTTTGCAGTCGATCGAACCGGAGATGCCAAAAAAAGCAAACAATACTGAAAAATCATTCGGTCATGTGAACCGAAGGTTCGGTGTACCATATCATCCCAAATATTCGGTTTGTCAAACTGAACTTTGTGTTTGTGAACTTTCGGTTTGTGTAATTGAACGTACGGCATGTATGACCAAACATTGTTCGTTAGTCATTGTCCCGCACAAGTTCGGTTACACGAGCCGAAAGTTCGGTTTGACAGACCGAAAAGTCCGTTTGACGAACCCAATTAGTCGGCATAATATGGGACACCGAACTACGGTGCATACGACCGAACCACGGTGCATACAACCTAACTTTTTTTTTCAGTGAAAAATAATTCATTTCGCTAAAAATTGAAATTTCGTTTCATGAGAAACGAAATTTCGATTTTCAATTTATTTCACTGAAAAATCCGAATTTCGTTTTCATGAAATTTTAATGATTTTCTGAAAATTAGGTTGCAACGTAATAATTGGATTACATTTTACTATAAGGAACCACCATATCGACGGTGAAAGTCGGTAATCACATAACTCGTTTGCGGTGTCTGAAAATCTCCGCCTCTACGTCATTTTTTTAAAGGAGAACAAATTGATATTATTTCTTGAAGTTTTTGCAGAATTTTCTTCGCATTGAGAAGAAAAATCATGACACTTTTAAAGAATTGCCGTTGAGTAGTTTTCCATTTAAAAAATAAAGTATGATAGGAAGTCTGCGACGTCGCAAACCGAGTTATGTGATTGCCGACTTTCACCGTCGATATGTGGCTCTCCCATATAAAAGCGTATATCTGCAAAGGGAAACCAATATAGCATGTATGTTGTTTCTAAACGGGCCAAAAATATTGGTTCCTTATTGCAAAACGCAATCCAATTATCCCAGAACTCGTTATGAGCCTTCAAAATTTCACTTCCATTACCCCCCCCCTCTCAAAAAATAAGAGTCGTATCAGATATTCCACAAACTTCCTTATAAGACGTAGTTAATGATTATTTCATTAATTTCTTCTACAGAAAATTCAATGGTTGAATGAAATCGCAATCTTGTTTGTGCAATCACAGCCGTAAGCGCACTGTATCAGCCTATTTTTCGCAACCAATGAAAAACCGGCACATAAATGGCCATACCATGTCTCTACGGGCACTCTATAACTCTTTCGGGTGAGGACGGAGCCCGGCGAGCTGAGAAAATGAGGTGAGTTAGTGGATGAATCAAGTCTGGGCCACGCACAGTGGATCGAGCCAATGGGAGAGGTCGGACAAAATTTGGGAACTTTAAACGCTTATAACTCCATTTATACAAAACGTAGAGGTTCTAAAAGTGGTTCCACTGGTTTCCTCATGAAATTTTCTTCTAGGAATACCCTTTAAAGTTCAAAATGTGACAAAGTAAACATTAAATACTTAAGTTTTAATCAAAAATTCCATGTTCGACCTTTTTAATTGGCTCGATCCACTGTGCCTCGGCTGGATCCACTGATTCCCACAAGAGCCATCTACGCGTATAACCTCGATGCTCAGGAGCCGTGGCACGCGCCTACGAGGAAAGTCAGAGCGGCGCTTTAATCGAGTTTCTTCAGAGACATTAGACGAGTAAATCCTCCTGTCTGTAATCAGGAAGCGTTCATGAGCCGAGCGGCGCAAATTCGAAAGCTGTAAATCACCGGGCCTTTTCACGCACTCGGGGGTCCCCTCGCCCCCTCCCTCCCCCCTGGCCCCGCGCGTCGTCGCGCGAGACACCATTCATTCATCCTGCCGTCCTTTTACGCTGAAAATTCCTTCAAATTCTGCCTCGGATCGGTTTTAAACTCCGGGGTTTAACGGGAAATCTGAGGGGCATACGAACGGATTTAACCAAAATGAGCCCAACTACAACAGACGTTGCCCAATTTCCTCTAAAATCTATTTTTTCATAACGGAATAATTGAATCACTAAATACAAAAAGGTCACATGTCCAGGAAACCAAATTGTTCAGGAGACACAAAAAACTGTTTATTTCGTGGTAGATACTTTTTAAACATAACGACTTTCCAAAAAATATCTACCAAGAAATAAACAGTTTTTTGTGTCTCCTGAACAATTTGGTTTCCTGGACATGTGCCCTTTTTGTATTTAGTGATTCAATTATAATGCCGTGCTTAGGAAGAACGTCGTATGAGCATTCGAATGTTGCCAAATTTGATTTCAGAAATGTATTTTTTAAGAAAGTTGTGAATATTTTTCCTTAAAATGTTCATATTATTTAGATCAAATGGACGTATTTCTACCAAACAGAACTATGTGTGGGTGGGAAAGATGGGGTGTGCTCGTAGTGAGCCGGATAAGAAACAATGTGAAAGTGTGCGTAGTTTCGTTTGGTGAATTGGGTAATACGTCCAAATTACGAAGGAAATTCTGTTGAAAACGGAAGGAAAATATTTACGAATTTCGTCAAAAAATTGTGCTCCATCAAAGTAAATTCGACCAACGGCTGGAGGTTCATACGGAGTTCCTTAGCACGGCAGCATATAGAAAAAGAGGAGGTGGCCGTATCTTGAGGATTATTTAATCCGTGACGTAGGTAGGTTAGTACAATACGTCGTTGATATTCTAGCAAAGCCCGAAATTCGCGGTATGGAAAACGGACCGTAATGTTCGTTTTCTTCTCATAGATCAACTCAAAATATAATTTCAAAAAATTTACATCGAGTGACCATTAACCACACCATTTTCAAGAAAATCAACGATGAAAACCAACCGACTTACGTTATCGGCGAAAACCAAGATCCTAAATGCTACCACCTCCTTTTTTTTCTAAGCGGAACACCAAGGTGTCATGCAGAACATGCATTAGAATGCTTCAATTCGTACCTTGTCCACCAGTCCTTCATAAGCGTACAGGAAGATCAGTGGATCATTTCCTTTCCAAAGAATGTGTATTTTTTGTTTTGTTTAATGATGAATTCAGCCCAAATGAGATTTTAATTTGGATGTCTCTGTTGCAGGAGCAATAGTGCTGTGCATATGGCACGTTGGCAACAGGTGCAGCAAGAAGTGGCAAAATCGGGCACGTACCAACTTACTGAAACGGAACTTGTTTTTGGCGCTAAACTGGCCTGGAGGAATTCCGCAAGGTGCATCGGTCGAATACAATGGGCGAAATTACAAGTAAGTTCATAAACATTCCAAAGTGACTCTTAACTTTCCAGGATGTTTTTAAAGGACCGCTACACTGCAAAATTTCAGCGAGGGGTGTGTGATTTCCCTACTGTAGGATGATCGAGTCGCGGTAGGGTCAGAATAGGAAATGAGGAAAGTTAGTCGAGCAAAAGTATCAAAGTTTTCGTCAGGTACACAGTAAGGACGAAATAAAGACGAAAGTGAGATCGCTCAAAAGGGATTTCACTTGGTAGATTACGCGACTGGATTCTGAAAGAATATGCGATTCAACAGACTTCTTGTTTGTAAATTAAGGCAAATACAGTCGTGCATGCTACTTCAGGGTGTCCACCGTCAGTAGGAGCCGGAAAACTGACAAAATATCAGGAAATTCGACACTTCAAGGAAAAACTGGAAAAATATTAAGAATAGATATTCTTGATAGATTAGATAGATTCATAGATTAGAAAATCCTGAGTGTCTCAAGCAGTTTACGAGCATTTCTCCAACTCATTCCCTTGAATATGTTGATTTTTTAAATGGAACAAGTGTCAATTTAGTCGCGTATAATATTAGAAGACCTTGTCTAAAATATCACGAAGAATCAGTACCCTGGTAAAAATTGGCAATAGGAGCTGCGTTTCAAAATACTATAGGAGTTCTTATAGCTGACTGAAGAAGGCGATAGAAAATCATACAACTGGCTGTAGAAAAAGGAAAAAATCATACGGCCGGGCTACACGAAGCGATAAAAAATTATACAGCCGGGCTATAGTTCCTATTGCCGGGATTTACACTTTATCGCCTGGCTGTTGCTTTTTTGCTATCGGCTATAAAAGGCTATAAGAAATTGTGTAGAAATTCGTGTGCTTTGTAAATCCTTAAGTTTGTACGGAATCACCTTAATTACAAAACGCACATTATATTTTCCTTTACTACATATTTCTTTTCATCAATCAAAATGAAAATAATCCATACAGAGTGTGCAAACATTTCAAAGTCATGAGTTGAAAAACGCTGACTCCACGAGATTAAATATTAGAGCCTAACACAAAGCGGAGCAGCGGCGCACTGGCGCCTACAAACCTAACAGGGATACTCCACGCATTGCGCAATGCGTGAAGTATCCCTGTTAGGTTTGTAGGCGCCAATGCGCGTTCCGCGCTGGCTGGCCGCCCGCCGCGCCGCAGCTTACCACGGCGCCTAAAGCAACTATTTCACACCAGAGGTATAGCACAGTATCATACGAAATTGCAGGTGCTCCAACATGTTAGGAATGGCAGGCATCCTTCAAAAGTACGGAGCTTTCCTCGCAAAATAAATCAAGATACTACGGCCAAAAAAGAGAGCGGTAGTCAAAAAACTCACGAAGTCCTAGCATCCGTAATTAGTAACGTTTAGCATACACTTTATCGTCAGGCTATTGCTTAATCGCTATCGGCTATAAAAGGCTATAAGAAATTGTGTTGCCGGCTATAGAAGCTATTGGAAATCTTACAGCCGGCTGTAGGTCTATGGAATTTTGCAACACAGATACTACTGCCAATTTTTATCAGGGTAAAAAATCAGGAACATCCAAAATTGAACTTTAGTAGACACCCTGTGACAATCTCTTTTTTTCCATTTTACTGAAAAGCCGTGTGCCTTCCCCATTTGTGTTGTTCATAGTACAGTAACATTTAATTAAAATACTAACTAATATACTGTTTGTGTGTTTAATTGCTAATGGGAGTATTGAATTGCAAGCTCACGAAAAAAACAATGGTCCACTTGAATCAAATCGGGCACTAAAACGATTTTGGCGGATTCCAAAATCATTCCTTCCCTGCGTCGTGTTGTTTTAAGTGTTAACTATGTGCAACAGCTGGCCAAAGCGCTGATATTGAGGTTGGCAAATTTTCATACCGCAAGGTGACGTTTAGTGAGCGACTTAACTCAAGATCCTAGATCGTGCATTTTTGATGAGCAGGAAGTTTGCATTTATGCATCGGAAAACGTTTATATCTTGGTTAGGAGTTACTTTCAGGAATTTTCGTCGTACAAATCGTGTACGCCATGAAATTTGAATGAGAAAACATTCGCCATATTGCTTAAACTCGCTCCTTGTATCGCGGTCCATTCTCACCCTGTCTCGAGCTCTATTTCAATGTTGTCACTTTGGGCAATGACGGGAACTGTACTGCCTTGCTACGGAAAAACGCCGTATGAGCCTTCAGGCTTTGCCAACGTTCCTTTGATAAAACACAAATTTCCTGGTAAACTTATGAATATTCTCCTTCCAGTTTTTCAGATTATTTTCTTCGCAGTCTCACCTGAAGTCCCTGAAAATTTCAAGGAAAAATGAATTTCATTTTGCAATAAGGAACCACTATCTCTGACTCTCCCATAAAAGCACATATCTGCGTAGGGCATCCAATGGCATGTATGTTGTTTCTAAAATGGGCTAGAAATAGTGGTTCCTTATTCCAAAACGTAATCCACATATTCATAACTTTTCGCAAAAATAAACATTTAATTTAAGGAAATTTGGCAACTCCCGAATGTTCATACGGCGTTCTTCCTTCAGCACGGCAGCGTAGTGAACCATGGAGCAGTGGCGAGGCGTGAATGATCGATTATCGATATTTCCCCATTTGAAGCTGTAGTAAACAATCGATTATTAAAGTGTACGTTGCGAACACCCCGATTATCGATCTTTTTCCATAGGTTTATATGGCAGATCAATCGATACATCGCAAAGCACGCCATCGCCACGAAGGTGTGTCTGCAACGTCGGAGGAAATTGCGTTTGCGTTGCGGAGGTTGCCGTGCAAAAACTATGAATTTACGAGGTTTAAGTTTGTGATTTAGTGACGTGAACTTGTGCTCGCGGCTCCGTCATGCTCCGGATCCCTCCGTTTATGATCGGGGCTCGAGATGGTCTAATTGCATTTTATATTCAACGGGAAGGAATAATTTCCAAAGCTGAAAAAAGTTTCCGCTCGATCCGCTCGCAAATGAACAAGTCAGCATCAGAGGCTTTTCAATCTGTTACCGTTCCGGGTCATCCGTTACGCCTAGGGTGCTTTTCCTGTGGGAGTATTGCCACGTCGGTTTCACTCTCTAGAGCACCTCCTAACTTGTAGGTGCAAGGCGGAAGTGGGGTCATTGATGTTGCGTTAAGGACTCAGATACACCTGCGAGTTACAAGCGCTTGTTGGGAGTGATAAACCGATAGGCGAGGAGGATTTCGATAGCTCGACGTCCATCGATCGAAATCCTGGTTTCCAATGCACCCCTAGACAAGGTACGAATTCCAGCATTCTGATACATGTCTCGTGACTAAAATTTTACGTAGAACACGATACGCACAACAAAAATTACCGCAATTAACTCCTTACGAAGATATTTAATAATTCCTGATGCGTGAATTGAAACCACCCGCTCATGAAAACTCAATGCTATACGTGATTCACATCGTGCGCTAAACGTTATGATGAAAGTCTCTGCGATATAAAAATCTGGCAACCTCGATCTTGACGCTTTGGCTCAGCTATAGGCAATTTCTAATAGTTTGGACAACACATGGTGGGGAATGAACATTGCTCGATTGAGAAGCCTGCTGAAACCGCTGTAGTGCGAGATTTGACTTACGTAGAGCTTTATGAGTTTCTTGTGAGCGGGCAGTTCCAATTCCTCGTAACCAATGTGAAATAAAAATGTTTATATCTCCGTTAGGAGTTGGTTTCTGTTATTTTCGTTGCGCGAATCGTGTTCTACGTGAAATTCTGGTTAAGATACATGTATCAAAATGCTTAAATTCGCACAATGTCTAGTGTTCCATTGGTGTTCACTTTTGTTTTCGCTTTGAAAGGTACAGCCAAGTACTCTTTTTTAGAATTTGACAATTTTGTATTGTTTTATCCAACCGAGGAAGGCTGACTTTTCAGCCAAAACGTTTTGGTGATATTCACGCGAAAATTAGCCCTGTTAGCAGCTGCATAATTTGTTTTATTACTTTATAACTTGTTACGGGCTCCGGAATCATATCTCATGTTTTAGTTTCAGTTGAAATTTTTTTCCAGAATCCTCCTTAAAATAACCATAGAAGACAACTCTCAATTGGTAATAATATTAATTAAGGATATCAACGTGAGATCATGGTTTTCAACGTGTTTTATAGGATCGTATTCAATTCGCCTTCAGATGCGTCCGCTGCAATTGTTGTTATGAATATGCTGTGCGTGCTGATCTCAGCTCATTACATACTTGGCTCTTCGAAGGCGTTTGATGTGTGAAAGTAGAGCACCCTGTTGGAGAACAACAGAAGTGAGATTGAACGACTCGATTAATCCCAACTTTGTTTTTTTCCCGACAGATTGCACCACTTGTGCACAATAAACGCCTTCAGAAAGTCGAGTATGTAATGGGCTATAATCAGCACGCACAACATATTTGAAACAACAATTGCTGCAGACGCAGTGGCAGGCGAATTGTTCGGTTTAAAAAATGATTATGATAGGAAGTCTGAATGTAACGGAAGGGTAAGTATTCGATCGAAATGAATCCGACGAATGATAAAAACGTAAACCGATCAACACAGAATCCATGGAGAAATATGCAAAAAATATGCATATCCACCAAAATTACCAGAATGTTAAAAAATTGTATCTTTTGCCATATTCTTTCAACCGTGTTGGTATGTTTTACATTTGGTTTCCTGAGTTTGTATTTAAAAATTCATTGTAGTTATGTGCCTGACGTTTCGAGGAAAATAGAGTTCGTCGGGAAATAATTTGGGTAATAATATAATAAAAATAGTAGAATGTTCGACGATTCGAAGTTTCCTTCCCAATGATTTTCCAGCCCTACTTACTCGCAACTACATCTCAACCAAAGAATCCATCCGACGGAAACTGTTTCAAACAAATGTGAGAAGGTTGAGCATTTTTTGCCGGATGGCGCTGAAAAATAAGCACTTCCCGCCTAAATCCACAAAAAATCCGCAACCTGGCAACTTTGAGGTAGAG